GACTCTTGTAAGATTTGAGCACTGGATTCTCTGCTGAATCCATGTTACAGTCTATAGTGAGGGTGGTTAAAGGTAAACTAATTCTTAACTGATGACCTTATACAATGACGCTGACCCGTGGTGATGGTCATAGTATGTTGACGTTATGGTGAATATGGTGGGCGGGATATGTTGTGAGAATGACCAATAATCAAACCTTGAAGATGTTAGTCAGTTAAAATGAAGAAGGAACAGCAGAGGAAATCTTCTGTCAGCTTCTTTAAGATGTGTGTCGCTTTCTCTTTCACAGCTTCAACAGTCTCAAATCTTTTTCCTTTTAATGCAGATTTATGAATTTTAGTTTTTTACTAATGTTCCTAATAGGAAGTGCCAATCCATGCACTGGAAGAGCTCAGCTTCACCTGTACCACTACAACCCATGAAGGGTCTGGGGTTCAGTACTATTTTAGAGAAAGCACTGTTTCTAGGTCAACGGTTGTGCAAGGAGGTGATTTTTTTTTTTTGTTCTTCCCTACCTCGCCTTTTAGGCTATACGGAATTTTCCCGGGCCGGAGGGTGAGGGCAGGGAATTTAAAATCCCCTCCGGCACCGGGACGCGAACTCGTACTTTTTAAATCATCTCAAATCTTGTTCTCCGGTTGCCAGGCAACTCGCGGTGCTGTGCACACGCTTTAACCTATTCGACCACCCCGCTCCCCAACAATCTCCTGAGGAGGTGATTTGACCGAGATCAGCTCAACCGCCAGGTTTTCCCCCTTAATCAATTATTTAATTAAGGGTACCCACTTTATAAAGGCTGGGTGTGCCCCAAGAGGGTCTACCGACCCAGAGTCGCCTCATGGCTAATGAAACAGATAAATAAATTTTCTGCCATGAGCCGGGGTTCGAACCTGGGACCTTTGCATTGGAAGTTCAGTGCCCTACCACTGAGCTACCCCACTCACCCAGCTCAGCTTCACCAAGAGCCAAAAAAGCTCAAATGAGCAATTCAAAGCAATGATGATTTTTTTTTTTTTTATATTCATTGCATTGTATTGCGCACCTTCACTGCATCCCTGAAGGTCTAACAATTAATCAATATTCATGTTATTGCTGAAAGAGAAAGCAGCACACTTCCTGAAATATCTGGCATAAGAATATTTCCAGCGCTGTTTTAGACAATGAAAGATTCTCATGGAGGAAGCATTGTAGGTGTAGAGGAGGAATCAAATTAAAAAGAGGAAGAGAAATCAAAACAAAATTTTTTAAAGCATTTGTCTCATTATTTAATAGCCGCATCTTGTATTAAAGAGATTCTAATTTTTTGGTATTAATGGTTTAGTTATAATTATGAAGTTCATTAATATACACTATAATGTATATGTACACAATTGTTTACATAATTTAAGGGTTTTTACAATTTTATTGCTCTTAATTACACTTGCATTATTAAGACTTTTAATAAGGCTAGAATTCATCCATTTTTTTTTTCCTAACAGATTATATTCAAGCTTTTCAATATAATTGTTACAGAATTATCCAAAGCGTTGCAACTTAAGCAACAACAATAATCATCAACAAAAGAGAAAACTCGATCACACGAGGAGCTGTTAATTGTTTATCAACAGGGCACACCAATACAGCAGAGCAGTTTAGTTGCATGACTTAATTTTAAGTAATTTGATTATAATTTTTTAATATGATTGTAGAGGTCAGTTCCAAGGGCGTTTCGTCAGAAATGGTTATTTTTGGAAGTCATTTTATATTTCTTACATCTAATAAGACATACATCTTATCATTTTTGTATCAGTTAATTAAGGTAGAGGTTATAAGCGATTGTTTTCGTTATCTTTTTATGAAGCTAACTGATATGGCAAGAACAAATCAGCAGTATAACTTTTTCAGATGAAAATATGACTGACATCTGATTTAATTAATGTGGTTTTGTAGGCATGAGTCTTACAATTTTATATTAGAATGTAATAATTAGGTATATTATAGCTATTAAGACTTCTTGTTTAATGATTTAAAGGGAACCCTACACGGTCAATCGGAATTACACTAATGACGTTCCGAGTTGTCGTGTAAGGTAGTGAATAAAGTACTGATGGTGGTGCGCTGCGGATTTCCGAACATCCGGAAATCAAAGGTTCATTCACGAGAAGTGGAGGGGAGACCGACTAAACATATGGGCTGGGGAGACCAACCATACTGCTGGATAGGTTAGGTTACCTAGGCCTCACAACCATTATAAATTTCTGATTTTCATTATATGTAAATAGTTAAATAATTTTTCATATCCCTTGTTTATAATTTTAAACCATCTTCTTTAGTCTTTCAATACTCTTGTGTTATTAATTTGTGTATATTTTATGTTCTAAATTATTACCTAAAAGGTGTAATAAGTTAATAGATTTGTCTTTGATTTTTCAATTTTTTTATTGCTTCTAATAAACTTTCTAGGATGTGGTTGTTAGCTATAAGACAATACGATATAATAGTTCATCTTTAAGAAATACATTTTTACTTTCACTTACCTATATATGAAATATATAGTAAGGGACTTTCACTTACCTATATATGAAATATATAGTAAGGGAAAGTATTGCGATCGTGAAAATTTTTTAATTTAATTTTTCAATGGAAATATATGTTTTGAGGTACCCTGAGTCGAAATAACCCAAGTCCCGCAAAATGGTCTGTGTGTGTTGACAGTCTAGCTAAAAAAAGAAGTACGAAAGCGAAATTGCATGTTTAAGGTTTTTATATGCTTGGGGTGTTACAGCAACTTGTTCGTCAAAATCAGATAACTGGAAGTGGCACTTTATATCATGGACTAAACACGTGTTTATGATTTGCTCGAAAATGGCTCTAACGATTTTGATTAAATTCATTATATCAGTGTAAAATTAAGCAGTTATAAATAAAATATAGGTTTTATTCTGATTGATGTTCTCCAGCAGGGCTTAAATGGATAATTTTCAATATTAACTTCCCTTAATGTACCTTTAATTATTTTTATTTGGAACACTTGCCCATTTCACCTTAACCTATAACATAAAAGATAGTTAAATATATAATATGAGCGAATTTGATAAGTAATATGAACGAATTAACTAAAAGAGACATTAGAAATCGTAACGGAGAATAGTTGTAAATCAGGAACAAAAGGAATGCGAGCTCGTCCGATAGATTAAAACGCGCTTCCGTACGTAACATGACCTTAATATAATATGGACTGCGTCGATATGATATAAATATACATATGCAGTTTTCATAATTGTAAACATAGACCAATCAACATTATACTTATGAGTAAAAAACAGGATAAGAAAAATAACCTCTATTAATACGATGCTTACTTCTAAATCTTCTGTAATTACAGGTATCTTCTAGGAGCTTAAGATTTCCGATTCTCATTTTTATTATTATTAATTTCTAAAATAAGTAAATTTGCGCTATCCTCATCTCTTAGTTCAATTTTTCCCCGATTTCTGCCTATTAATTTGATATTATTAATTGATATATTGGATCGGAGAAAATTTGGTTCTAAAACTTATTGGATAAATTTTTCCAATATTACACTCCTGCAGAAAAGATTCAACAAATACATAGAATCGACCTGAATCGAAATTATTGTATTTGAGCAGAATAAATGTCTTGAATTGCATAACATGCGACGAGCTGTTATCATTCAGCACAATATCTTTCATTTTCCCAAGATTAATATAACAAAAAATGATAATCTTATCTGCTCCTAGAACTTGTAATGGGAACGTGATAAGGTTCATGGATAATAAAGAGATTTGTGTCAGTGTGACCAAATCCGGCACCAGTAAACATAGACAATCAACATTATACTTATGAGTAAAATTCAAAACATCAGGATAAGAAAAATATCCTCTATTAATACGACGCTTACTTCTAAATCTTCTGATCCTATGATGATAAGGAATGACTATTATCTTCTACAGCATCTACGATAAGGTGTGTAGTACCGACTTCGTTAATACAGGTATCTTCTAGGGGCTTAAGATTTCCGATTCTCAGTTTTATTATTAATAATTCCTAAAATTAATAAATTTGTGCTATTCTCATCTCTTAGTTCAATTTTTACCTGGTTTCTGCCTATTAATTTGATATTATTAATTGATTTATTGAATCGGAGAAAATTTGGTTCCAAAACTTATTGGATGAAGTTTTCCAATATTACGCCCCTCCAGGGTTGAGACAATTAACACACATTCCTCAATTATATAATTATATTATATAATATAAATAATTTATATTTATGAATTTCCATTCAGTTTTGTCGTCGGGGTCTTCTTTTGCGGCTTTCTAATTGTCACAATTAATTTTGCACTCATCCTGATCCGCAGTGAATCTTCATCTGTATTGATGCTGCAGGCTTTACTTTATTAAATTTCTACCATATCTTCTTTTAACCTTCTATTTTCCTATCTTCCTTTAGACACTCATTACTTGTTTGCCACCTGTCACTCTCTATTTGTCTCAATGATCTTTCCTTGCCGGCTGGTCACTTTCTGCCTTTAACATATAGCGCTTCTTCCCCTTCCATCTGTCCTTTCAGCCTCTTTTTCCATTTTTGACAGTAGTCTGTTACGTCACTGCTTTCGCTACGCTATTTAAAATTCTATTGACCCATTAAATTCACTATGTAATAATTACATTACATTCTCCACCTTTTCAGTTAATTAAAAAAAAAAATGAAAATTCATAATTCAGTAAAAAATTTGCATTATTTTTTTTTTTAGATAAAAAAATAAACTTAACATTTGATATTCACACTATTTATAAAGGAATTTCAAGTCTTACTCGCAAATATTTACTATTTAATACGCAAAATTATTGGATTCTTAAAACTATATTACATCACTCTTCATACATTAAAAGAAAGAATTACAATTTAGAACATGGTGCATGACAAGCTTAAAAACAATTTTTTTTATTTGTCTAACAAAGCCTGATTCTACTCTTTTAGCAATGTACACTTTTCTGGTCTACCTGGCAGTTCCTACGTCTTCATTTTGAATCAAAATATGGCATGTAACCACCCTGATCATATCTAAGCATATCTTGAATTGATGTGGTTGGTTGCCTTGGGCTAGGAGGTGTGAGGGATCGAGAGCTGGGTCGTCATTTTTTGGAGTGACGGTACAAAAGAAGCTCTTTAGCTACTTGTAGTCTAAAATCTTTTAGATTAATTTTTGTTGAAGGGTGTTCTCTTTTGTAGAGTAACCAAGAATTATTTAGTGTGATATCCACCATTTGCACAAATATATTTGAATAACAACGACGGGTTTTGAAATGGATTTTATATAGTGATGCTAGCATGTCATCGAGGTAGTCTCTCCCCCATAAGAGCATTGTATTCTGGGATGCATTCAGAGCATTTCATTTACATACATCTTCGGCTCTACAGCTGTCAGCCGCAGCGTCTCCCTTCCAACCTGGTCCAACCCATCTTGTCCGGGATCTTCCTACTTTTCTTTTTCCCAATGGTGCATAGTATAACATTCTTTTTCAATATCAAGGTCTACAAACAGTCTCTTATTTGAAGAAGACTTATCCTTTGATTTAACTTGTAATTTTCCTTCCATCTTTATTCTAAGAAAATGCAATCTTTTCATTAATGATTCAATCTCCTTAGATGTATTTTCATCTAATTCCAGATGATCCTCTTGGGAATGCTATCTTCAGCCATCCTTTGCACATGACTTACCCAACGAAGCCTGCTGATCAAGATAAATTTTACTGCTGGGTATACTTTTCGTACGGTTCCCGGTTGTGCCTTATTCTCCAGGTGCCATTTTCATTGAAAACTGACATTCTTCTTTCGAAAACTGCGATCTTCTGTTCATCGACTTTTTAGTACCCAGCATTCACAACCGTAAGTCAGTATGGGTCTGATGAAGGTCTTGTAGAGTGTAGCCTTTGTGTCTTTATTTATTGCTTTTGTTTTAATTAGCTTAATTATGGAGTCAGGGATTCTAATGATGGCAAAGAATCCCTTGTCCATCTCTTTAAGATAGTGCAGATACCACTCATTCACTCTTTCAATTGTGGTATTTTGTGTTCTCAGCCTATTCATTAGGGCCTTCTCGGGTAAGTACTTTCCCCGGAAAGAAGGTTTTTGTCTTTGAGGTTTTTGTAAGTCCCCAGGAACTTACATCTCCCGTGTGAAGGGTGATTTCCTCCACCAAGTTGATGCTGGGGATGATTTTGGCCAGCCATGTGCATGTTTCATTGTTCATGTATGCGACAATTTCTCCTCCCACCTTGTAGCTAACGCCATCAAAAAGTGGGTGATATTCTCCATGCTCGTCAAGCTCATCCACCTTATCAGCGATGAGTTCTTTTAGTGCCTCAACTTGTTCGTGATCGAGCATGGCTAGCGGATAGTTTGTAGGAACCACCGCAACCAGCTGACCCCTCAAGGCTGAGGCATAGCTTCTGGTTACTGCTTCTCTGGGTTTCTTGTCAATAGGTGCCAAGGTTCCCAGTGAGGTTTTTTGCCTTTTGCCCGTCATTGGGACCATCCCTCGGGCCTCCACAGCCTTAGGCTCTACGTCTTTAACTGGTGGCCCTGAGGTTGACCCCATCTGAGTTAAGTGTTTTCTTGGAGCCTTTGCAGCAGGCAGTGCAACCCTGGTCACTGGTCCATAATTGGCCCTTGCCACTTTAGCCTCCTGCCCACTACTAGGCTTCTTGATGTTTTGTTGCGTCCTGGGAAGAGACCCTCATGTCGGACTCCTCGGCCTTGTTTGCAAGGTCTGGGATGATGATTTTGGCAGCCATTCTGTTCATCCTTTGCCGCCTTCCTCATCGTTTTAGTCTGTTTCAGTGTGGCAGGAACTGCTTCTTTCAAAGCGACTCCACCGCCTACCATCTGAATTTTTGAATCCGCCAGGCCTGTTATGGGCCTGTCTCTTGAAGATTTTGTGAAGGTGGGGCAACAGCTCCAGCCTCAGCTGTGCTCACCCTCCTGATTTCCTCTCCTTCATGACAAACTTGAAGTCGCTCAACTTCGGCCATGAGAGATCTGAAAGTATCTTCTATCGATGCCTCATCGAGGGTAATATCAAAAGAAGTCCCTGACAAGTCAGGGTGTTTATGTTGATGAAAAAGTCCATCCAGTCTGTACATCCTATCGTTTGAGTTTAGTTTTTTATTTTAATGTTTTGTTTTCCTGCATTCTGTTCTGACGAGTATGGGAGAAAATAGACTGTAGGTACTGCCCCCTCTCACTACAGCCGGCTACTATGAAATGGGGGTCGCCTGGTGCCCCAAGTGGTACGATAAAAGACAATATATTTTTACCCACCCCTTGCCACTCAGCCTCAGCTCGAGCTCCTGTACCTACCTAGCTTGGGTGCCTAACAGATTCGTCGCATCCATACCACACATATATGCGGATGGAAGCGATGAACCCCGCCTCTGTCGTCACCTATCTTAATATTAAGGACCTTGCGAGTCCATTTCATCCTTTGTTGAATGGTGTGTAGGTACTCTCTTCGCCATCGATTCCAAATTTACGAGATTTGGGATTGCATAATTTTCCCGTTTGGAGAGATGGGAACCAAAGACTTGAAATGGTGAAACAGGTTATGGTAGAGTGTGTAAGGCGGAGCCTGTCAAATAATGGCCTGGAGTGTGAAAGTAAAAAATCTTAACGCCTTTTTTAAGGCTGCATATCTGGAATTTAAAAAACCTTCTATCTTGGTAGTTGGCACCTGATGAATGGTCGCCCATCCTGAGAAGACCTCGCAAATTCGTGGAAATGGAGGTTGCCTGGGAAGATGTTTCCTAGTTCTTCTTGGAAGAATAGTTAATAGGATAAGAGCGACAAGGGTCAGATGTTGTTAAGATGGACCAAATAAGACAATGGAGTAAAGCCACCTGAGCTTTATGTAAATAAATCTATTTCAGGCATATTAAGAACGGTGCTGTGGGCATCTTACACAATGGTGTAGAAGTTGGAGTTACCTTACATATGTCTGGTATATTAAGGTTGGTTATTTAGAGTCATATATAAAATGACACACAGAAGAAAATGTAGCACATGAGTTGCTAATCACAACACCTAAACAAAATGTTGCACATACCGCCCACCCTGCAAAGACCATGGGAACAAAAAAAGGGTGTATGTGGAATAAAAGTTACTCTGGAACTTCCTAAGAGTTAGGAATCGAGAAATTTTAATTTGTATGCAAGAGACCTTGGGTCTTCATTGCACAAATGTCCTAGGAGCTACCAGAGGGGAAACTAAAAATGAGGTGGAAAACCTGAGACCAATCCATTGGTTATGGATTGCAAAATGGTGTAACATCCCTCTTAAGGTGGGCTTACACGCTCGATTTTTACCATCGGTTCAAACTGTCGGGTGAACGGATGAAAAATGGTAGGGGAACTGTCGGTTTTAACTGAAGAAAAGTTCTACTCTTTTCGTCGGTTTAAACCGTCGGGTAAACGGATGAAAAATGGTGGGGTAACTAGTCGGTTAAGATATCTGACGAGAAGAAACGCAGTATCATGGATCCTTTGATTGCGGGTTTAAAACAATGACGGGTTGTGGAGCTGATTTTGAGACTGAGAGTGTCCTGGGTGGTCAGAATGAGCGTAGACAGATGGATGGGGATGATGCTGAATTTGAGTAGGACGGGGCACGTAAATGTTCATTTTCGAAAATTTGGATGTGTTCCCAATGGCTGCCTCATACAGCACATCGTTAATACATTTTACAGCCACTAATGCTGTCTCAGGTGGCAGGTCTCGCAGTTTATGTGCAACGTTTTTACCAATAGCATCAGACATGTCTTCTGAGTCAAGTATATCGCAAACTTTTTCCAAAATTTAGTCAGACTTATCTTTTTTTGATCGTTTTCGAGGTCTTGCTACCGGATGTGCCGACGAGGTTTCAGGTGTCAGGGAAGTAGCAGAAGATGCAAGCGAATGCGATGTGTTGGGCCCAATCTCAGTCTCACTCTGAAAAAAAATTAATGCTTAAAAATTAGTGTATAAATTTTACTTACCGATTCTTCAAACGAGCGGGAACTCTCTATGTTGGATGTGCTGTCTCTGGGCATCTCTTGGTCTGCTAAAAATTTTTTTGGATTTGATTTTATAAATCTTGTTTTAAAGTTTCCTGTTTGTTATTAATTTCCAATTGATGGTCTTCTAATTTTTTGTTTAAATTAACAAATTGAATATTAAAATTATGAAGCATAGCCATTACTTGTTGAAACATATCATTAATATCAGTACTATTCAAATTCTTGCTACTACTTATATTTATTTTTTCACCCTCCGTATTATTTTAACTAAACTAATGAATTTCATTTAATCCTGACGGACTTTCACTTCCTGTGCAACTACTGTTACAGTTTTTACACTGTCTATTTTCATCAAGTAGGCTTTGTACATCTGACTTTGCCTTATTTTCTATAATAACAACATTCCCATTAGATTTTCCAAGAATTATAGTATTAAGATCTCTACCTTCCATTATCTCTCTCTGGTTATTTTCCATATTACTCAAAAATTATTAATAAAAAACCATACCATTAAAACAAATTGTTTATTTGAGCTGTGATCTGATTGTCGTGACCTAACTTTTAAAGAATAAGGCCACGCATAGTTGAGCGCCAAAATGTAACATCCCTCTTATATTTGACAAATAATAATAATATAACCTCTGAAGTTTGGATACTTCCAAAATAAATAAGAGGTTGTTAAATAAAAAACAAAATGATAAGAATATTAATATATTTATTTATCTCAGGTGTGGGTTACTGACAATCAGATCAACTCAGACAAACTATTATTACTTATTATTTATATTATATTATTTATTATTATTATTTAGACTATTTATATTAAAATTAAACACTGGTTTAAAAATAAAGTCAAGTATGAATTGACAAGCTAACCTTCTTCTACATACAATGTTTCTTCCTTTGTGGCTCTGAACTCATTTGTCTTCATACATTTTCTATGTTCTGCCAAACACATATCCCAAAATGGCAACACTATTCTTCCACTCAACTCAAGCTCTCTGGGAAATCCTCTCTCTTGCAATTCCAAACAACTATTCTTCCTGCCAAACTAGATCTTTTACTTCTATTTTAGCCAATTCAATTAATTTGGGGTTTAATTTGTATTTAAATTATTTGTAGGGTGTCATTTGTTACTTCTAAAACATGTTCATAATTTTTTATAAGACCTGGTTTATATCTAAAAATAATCTTACTATTCCACAAAATATTTTTAAATTCCATCACTTGTTCATCGTTCAGAATATGGCTTAATTCCCCACATAATTTATCATTTATATTTTCATATTCAATCAATTCACTATTGTTAGTTACATAATTAATAGATATGTTTTTGTGATGTGCTATGTTCCTGGCCTCGCGTTTCTACGGCGAGTAGGGGGTTTCAGAAACCACATTTATTTGTATTTAATACTTATATTGGTATTTATATCGGTCCCAGAAGGGAACCGATCTACTGAAAAATATATTATTCATGTATTCAAATGTTAGATACCACAGACCCCCTACTGTAGTATCCTAGATTGAACCATATAATTTTGATTGGATTTCTTTTCTAGAGGTATCGTGTTTTTAAATTTACTAGTTGTTTCTATTACTAATTGGTGGCATGCAAGGTAGAATATAAAATTAACAAGATGGTTTACTAACTATTATATTTACAAATTTAAATAACCAACACATATATACTATGATATTAGGGAATCATACCAGAGGAGAATGCTATTTACAAATTATTTCTGATTATTGGTTGCCAACACGAGTTTACATCATTATTACTAAATGAGGGTTATTACCTAGCTGGTTCTTCATCATCTTCGAGTCTCCTTCCATGTCGCTCTCCTTCAGCGTCTAGTCCGTCCATCTGCTCCCTCCGGCTGAGTCCCAGCTATCAGTCTCTATCTTGCTCTCTCCGCCTCTCCTGATCAAGTCTCTTTCTCAAAACTCTAACTGTCCTAGCTTCCAGTCACCCCCCTCTCTTTTTGTACTTTTTCCTGATTGGCTGAATATTCCTAGCCTAAGGGATGACCACGCCCTCTCCCCCAGGCCAAGGTATTCCACTAACCAGGTATACTTTACGTATTTCTGGTGGAAGGTGTGAAAGGTCTTTCTGGATGCTGTTTAAACACTCAGGTGTGAGGCTGTTTTCGGTCTTGATCGGTGGTTCTTAAGGGTTTTTATTACCACTTACAAAAGGTTGGGCTCATGGGTCGTTACCCTAGCTCAGGTACCGCCAGATGTGAGCACTTATGATATTTATTTATTTAGACCTTTAAAATAATTAAATGAGTTCCATCGGCGGTCTTTAGAATACATAGCAGATGATTAAGACGTTCAAATGATTCCACGCAATTATTCTGTGGTTTCTGATTATATTCATCTTTTAAAATAATATATTGCCATGGTTTTTCTATAAAATTAACAAAATTTATGACTGCCAAATTTCCTTCCTCATTTTTTATGCTCAAATAGTTCGTCTCAAAATCAAGCACTGCTGAATTGCAAATAAGAAAATCTACTCCTAATATACATTCTTGAATGATGTCGGG